GTGGCTCCACATCCCTCATCTTTCTCTGGCTCAAACCACTACCTCAGTCGTAACTGACCACTTAGCATAATTTGAACATGCCGCATTCTCACTCATGCACTCCTTTGCCTGGGATATACTTAGCTGTACCCTCTGTCTGGCTAATTCTTCCTCATTCTTCCTGAGGGAGGCTTTCTTGAAACGATGCTCTCCAGATGGGGTACGTTGACCTTCTCTGTGCTCTCAAGCCCCCTCTGCAGCCCTCCGTCAGGACATATCACAGGCATTTTAGACGCCCATTTATGTGTGCCTCTTTCCTCTAGATGGTGAGAGGTTCAAGGGCAGGGACTGTCTTCCTAGTAAGAGCTGTCCTTTATTGAGTGCTGCCATGTACTCACTTTCCTTGTTTAATTCTCACAACTACCACCTGAGGTGGGTATTATTATGCTTGTTTTCCAGATGAGGGAATAGAGGCTCAGAGAGGTTAAATAACTTCCCCAAGGTCACAATGGGTAAGTGGTTAAGCCGGGAATCAAACATAGGTACATCTGATTCCAAGCCCCAAATTCTTTTCACTTCACTATGTTATCATCAGAACCATCCACAATGTTCACAGCTTAGCGGCTGGGATACATAAATAGAAAAATACCATTTGAACAATGAGATTAGCGAGCTAATACAGGTTTACACAAAGTTCTTTGGGGGAACATATGGAAGAGAAGAATTTGTTCTCTCTGGGGGAAGTAGGGGTTGGAAACGCTTCACAAAGTTACCAGAATGCTCGGGAACTTGTAAACTGTTTCCATAATGACGGTCTAAGGAGGAAAATAGATCCTTGCATCAAACACTGACTGTTAGTTTCAGGGGCCATGGCAGCCATTGCCCAGGTCACCACTGCTTCCAAATTATTCCATCTGGATGCCAGGAATTTAGCCCAACTCCTGCAGGTACCTGCTTAAGTGATGACTGGTAACCAGGCAACACAGCGCATTGTTTCATGAAAATCATGTGTGTGTGTGAAAACTGCTCTACATAATCACAGTTTTAATCTTACACACTGTACTTTAAATTTAAATGAAATCAATACATTTTCAAGCCTGTGGCCATATGGAATAGGGCAGTAACTCCTAATTATGTGTCAGCTTCTCTTCCTGCTCTTGTCTTTCAACTGCAGGCATCCTTGCAGGCTGCTTTCTCTATAGACTCTCCTTCAGGAAAGCCATCTATTTTCTAGGCTTGAACTACTGTAAAATTCCTATAAAATTAAACTTATAACTAGAAGCAAAGCATGGCTTTAAAATCTATGGTACAATGCCTTCTTTGTCTGCTCCGGAGGGCATTTGTGAGCGAAGGCACAGTGGGCAGCCCAATACCATTGTCGGGCCTCTGGCATCAGGCAATTAGGAGGCTTCTAAACTGGTCCATTTCCTAGCTGTGTGGCCTTGGGCAAGTTACTTAACCTCCGTAAGCCTGCATTCCTGATCTATAAAAGAGTGAAAATATAGTATCCTGGTAATAGGACTATTGTGAGGACAAATGGAATAATGCAAAAGCACTTAGTGGCTGGTTTGTTATGTTACCAGTAAGCACTGTTTTTTTGTTTTGTTTTCTTTTTTGCTGAGGAAGATTCACCCTGAGCTAACATCCATGACAATCTTACTCTATTTTTTAGTACTTGTGCCGCCAGCACAGCATGGCCACTAACGGAGCTGTGTAGGTCTGTGCCTGGGAACCAAATCCCGGCCACCAAAGTAGAGTGAGCCGAACACAATCCCTAGGCGATAGGAGCTGGCCCTAAGTGCTGGTTGTAATGATTATTATTACTCTCATCATTGGCAGAATGAAGCTGTTTGAGTGACAGTGATTTCAAACCTGTGAAGTGCTACGAAATTATGAAATGTTGTTATCATTGTGTATACCGTTGAGTGAAATCCAAAGAACTTGGTAGAAAGAGAAGCGAACAAGAAACCGGGAAAAGCAGATCCCAATGCTACTACTGCCACTAACCTGCAGTGTGAGCTTGGGCCACTGTCTCTCTGAGCCTCTGCTTTCTCACTTGTAAATGACCCAGTTTGATTAAATTCTCTTGGAGATCGATCCCAGCTCTGAAATTCTATGAATCCATGAGCACTGGAGCAAAGAAGTTCTGCAGCAAACCTCACACAGCCTTGGAATACAATAGAAGGCCAATGTGTACTACACATACCAACGGCCAAAGCTCACCTCTGAGGTTGGTAACAGTTAACCCCAACTGCAACAATCAGAAACAGAATTCCGGGGGAATTCAATGAAAAGGCAAACTATATACACTTCAGGAATCTTGGAGCACATCATCATGGCAGAAGATAATAACACATCTATAATGGCAATACTGACCGAGTCAGAAAAAACTTCAGATTCTGCCCAGCAGCTGTATACTTAGGGAATTGGGTGCAAGACCTCTCAACATTTTTTGGATGTGGCTTTGGCTAGTAATGTTGTGCTAGTAGCTCTCTCCCACAGCTTGCAGAGCCCCATTGCTTCCTACCTTCCTAACACACTGAGCACCTGCTGCATGCCAGACATGGTGGTGAACCACACCCGGGCCCCTGAGACACAGTCTCTGTTCTCAGGGAGCTGACAAACATTGGATAAGGCATTTTAACAGCCGGGGATACTTTTACACTTTCAGCGTAGTCCTCCATGGTGCTTATATTGTTTATATCTTGTCTGTCTACTATTCTGTGAAAACATAGCTGTTTGTGTATTCAGCTCAGATTTGCTTCTTCACCCTCAGCCCTCCAGGAGCTTCTGGATGTTAAATATTATCTCTCCATGTGAGTCGTACCAGAAGGAAGAGTCATCTGTTACTCTTTCACTTGCTAAGGAGCCCTCACACTGGTTTGCAGGGCAGTTACTGATTCTTTCTCTTTCTTCCCAGAGGGCCAATCAGTTCAGATTCAGCGGCTTGGTCTTATTCTCCCCCAGGACTCAAATTTTATCCTTCTCATGCACTTCTCCACTTTACCCCCAAACAAAACAAAATAACCAGAAATGATAATCAAAAGTAGGCAGTATGGTGTGGTGGCAGCACTTTGATGAACAGGCTAAATATTTCTTTTGCTACTATAGCAACTACAATTAAATGCCTTGGCACTTTCTTTGAAGCTCTTTGGAAATGTGAATGTTATCTTGTATATAAGTGCTTAAAATCACCTCAATTACCTAAGACACTTTCATCTCTCTCCAAGATTCTTCTTAAAGGGACTTTTACTATTTTCTTCAGATACTGTTATGAATGTAGAACGTGGTATTGATAGATTTCTTCAAACTCACTGATTTTCATATTCCCTGAGAATGACAAGCATGTTATGAAAACCACAATAGAAAAAATTTCCATAAAAGTACTTAATAAAAAATAAAAGACTTGATGCTTAAAGATACTTCCAATTATCTGGAAAATTGATACTAGCTAACTAAGTGCTTATTCAACAATTCATTAGATAAGCACGTATTAATTGCCTAAAAGTGTTGCATTGTGCAAAGTACTGTAAACGTAAAGGAGATTAAGAAATGGTTGCTGCTTTCAAGGGGCTCAATTAAAAATTGCTTGCTTTATATCTTGTGTAAATACCTAATACTTTACAAAACATTTTCCATATGTAACAACTCATTTCATCCTGAGAACAATCAATCCTGGTTTCATGCTTCATAAACTTGAGATTTCTTGTTGCTCACTGTTATTTGGCAACCAGAATGTCCATTTTGGTGATGATAATGTTAGTATTTCTCCATTATTCCTCATTTGAATTTATGTGCCTAATGACTAAGAGTTTACAAAGCGTCTCATTGGAAATAATTATTTTTTCGTCTTCTCACCTTTCAGGCCTTGTTCCTCTTATGTCTGAGCTTCCTCCTGAGGGGGCTGGGGCAAAAATGACTTTCCAAATTCTGGATGAGTGCTTTTAAGATAACTGTGGCCTCTGCTACATACCTGTGGTGGGGACTTTGTTCTTGGATTCCTTTCCCACCAAAGCCTTTAGGTCACAATCTCAGAAATTTCTACTTCATTTTTGCTCTCTGTTTTTCCTTTATTCCATTCCCAATCATTCCTTCCAGGTCATTTGCTATCTTGGAATATTGGTTTCTGCCAAAAAATAGAAACAGAGTTTAGAAACTTGGGAATTATCCTGCCCAACGCTTTCACTTTATGGAGGAGAACACGGAGGCCCTCAGCCATCAGGTGTCAACGTCAAAGCCACACAAATAGGTGGTAGAGATGGGCTTCAACCTGAGACACTCTACTCTTTGACATCATGCTGTCTTTAAAAGCTGCCCGTCAAATGAAACATTCTTCTCAGGCTAACATGCGCCCCTCTTATATTGCTAGTATATAAATATTTGGTTACTATTGCAACAGAGATCTACCCAGTTTTAGGATATTTCCACAGATTATACCGTTATGTTTCCAGTTTTTCTAGAGCATACCTGTTCACCTAGGAATTATGTGGTCATCGACTCAATTATCAAGCATCTACTACGTGCCCGATGTAATACAGGCATTGGGAATATGAAAACTACAAGGGTTTGGCCAGATCTTAATTGGAAGTATTCTTTGGATTTGTGTAGGGTCATTCAACACTGGATTACTAGTAACCGTGTAGTTTTAGTGTAAATGGTCCCGTAAGTGTGAAAAAATCAGCAACAAGACTTGAACTCTAGTAACGTGTTGAACGCAGACATTAAAGCCTTTACCTAAGCATTTAGCATTTCACACGTGCAGAGGAAAGAGAACCGCTATTTAAATATTGCCGAATGTGGTTTTAAAAGTCTCCCAAATTTGCTACAGAAATCCCCAAAAGTTAATCTGGTAGTCGATTTCCTTCCACTCGTCGGTCCGCCCGCCCGAGCGGGCTCCACCTGCGGGGAGGCCTGGGGGACGACTGGGCTCGGGCTCCCGGCGAGGCGCCGCGCCCTGCGGGGAGCTGGCCCGCCGCGCGGTCCCGACACGGGGCGGGGCGGGTGGCGTCCCGGGCCGCCGGGCGGACGCTCTTCCGCTCCCCGGGCTCTGCCGGGGCGGGGCGGGGGCGGGCGCGCTCTTCCTGCCGCGCTCGGACCGCTGCCTGCTGCGACGCCGAGCGTGGGGCCATGGCGGCGCTGGTTTGGGGACGGGGCTTCTCTCGGGCCTGGCTCCGCAGGTGCGACCCCCACACCTCCCTGGGCCCCAAAAGGCCTCCCCGGGGGTCGCCCCGAGTGATCCGGCTCTTCTTCCGCGTTGCAGGAGCGCCGGGCCGGGCTGCGGCCGACACTACCGCGCCGCGGTTTGCACCGAGTTGAAGCAGCCCCTGGCCATTGAGGAGGTCACCCCCCGCCCCGTCCGACCTCACGAGGTAGGGTGACCGGCCTATCCCCGGGACCCCTTGATACCCCCTTCACTCTTCCCTCGGTCACCACACGCACACACAGCAGGCTCCCGTCCTGAATCAGGGTTCCAAGCTCTTCCCTAGGGCGCCACTGGGGGACTGGAGCCCAACTTCGTCCTGGGCTGGAAGGGCCCTTTCAGGGTTCACAAAAAGGCCAAAAGCGCTAGAGAAAGATTGCTCCCCCAAACACAAATGTGGCCTTTTCTGATGGCCCCAGAGCTGTTGCCTTAGAAACAGAGAATTCGGATTTGCACCCAACTTTGCGTAATCACTTGCAAGTTATTGATTTAACACGGATAAATGGACCCCATCTTTAGCTTCCTCTTTAGTGTCAGCATCTAATTACCCACCATTCCAGCTTCCCCGAGCCAGCCCCACAATGCCCCGTATTTCCACGTGAATACGTGCCTTGTGCCCTCCTCTGGGGTGCTGCAGTGTCTGGGGTGAACTTAGTTTAGGGTTGTGGGCGTTTCCACTGAAATGTAGAAGTGACTTTGGCCTTGCCTGTTGATCACCCTGGTGTGAAGATTGAGAACCTCTGATGAGGTGAAGCAGGCAGGGAGTCTCAGTGTTGGGGACCACTGGTGAGAGGGAGAAATGTGGCCGCAGCCCTCAAGTGTCACTAACACAGACCCAGGGGCTAAGTGGATTATTTGGTTGAGTACATGATGGCAGCCAGTGTGCTTCCTGGGATTCTCGGACTGAAAGACATTCATCTTTGAATCATCCTTGAGTCAAGGTGGAGTGGCTTGGGGATGTATGCATGCCATACACGGCAACAACTAATGTGTCATGCACACAATATGCGCAGGCTGAAGGCTGAGTTCCTTTGTTCTGTTATTTGCCCAGACACTGCCTTGTAAGGAATTAGCTCGTGAGAGCTGGGTCTGTGCGAGTCTACTCACCATTAAATCCTCATAGTCTGGAAAGGCGCCTGGCACATGGCAGATGCTTAAAACATTGTTGAAGGAATGCATTTTGTCCATAAAAAGGTCTTCACACCAACATGGCCACTTCTGTATTAAATTGAAATGTAAACAAACAAATAAATGAATGTCGTCGACTCTCTCTCTCAGCCTTCATTTCCTCCTGGGATTCCAAGCCCCCTGAGATGGGTTGGTCTACGGCAGTAGTCCTCTCACTTCAGCCTGCATCTGAATCACCTGGGGCTTGTTAAAACAGACTGCTGAGCTTTGTCCCCAGAGTTTCTGATTCAGTAGATTGAGCTGGGGTCTGAGAATTTGAATTTCTACCAAGTTCTCCGGGGACTTTAAAGCTGGAGGTCTGGGGACCATACTTTGAGAAGCACTGGCTTATAAGGTCTGAAGAAACTGCTGGCTGCACTGCTGCAGCCTCCTCAGCTCTACACTGCCATGAAACACAGAAGCCGAGGATCCAGGACTGGCCTCCAGGATGACTCCCTGATTCCCAGAACAGCTGATCATGTTACCCTTCTGCTTAAAATCCTGTCGTGGCTTCCCCTGATTCCTACTATGAAGACTAAGATCCTCGACAAAGCCTACAAACCCTTGGATGGTGTGGTCCCTGTTCTCTAGTCCCATCTCTTTCTGCTGTTTGTGCTCTAGGCTCACTGGTTTTTCTTTTGTTCCCCCCACAGGGCCTTTGTATATACCATTGTTTTTGGCCGTGCCAGGCTTTCCCACTCCTGTTTTGAATAGTTAACTCTTAGTTGTTCTCAGTTGAAGTGTTGCTTTCTCAGGGATGTTTTCCTGACTTCCCCCAAAGTTCAGATCCCCCCATTAGGTGCTTTCAGAGCACCATATGTTTCTATCTTTGCCATTTTGTGCAGGAGTTGTAATTTAATGTATAACTCATCATAATTACTTGGCTAATGTCTGTCTTCTCTACCATACTTCTAGCTTTGGGAAGGCAAGAACCTTGTCCATTTTGCCTCATGATTGTACACAGGCATTTAGTTCAATACCTGGTGTATTGTAGGCATTCAGTAAATATTTTGTTATAATTGAATGAACTTTGCCTCCACGGCTGTGTACTGCTCTGCTTTCTGGTTCTATTTCCTTTGCAGGTCAGAGTTGATGTCCATTTCTGTGGAGTTAATTTTGCTGATATTTTAGTCTGCCGTGGTCAGTATCAGGAAAGGCCCCATCTTCCCTTCACACCTGGTGAGTCTGAAGGGGCCAAGTGACTGTTTCAGGAAAAGAAGATACAGTGAGGGGCTGGCCCCGTGGCCGAGTGGTTAAGTTCGCGTACTCCACTGCAGGCGAACCAGTGTTTCGTTGGTTCGAATCCTGGGCGCGGACATGGCACTGCTCATCAAACCACGCTGAGGCAGCGTCCCACATGCCACAACTAGAAGGACCCACAACGAAGAATATACAACTATGTACTGGGGGGCTTTGGGGAGAAAAAGGAAAAAAAAAAAAAAAGAAGATACAGTGAGTTTTCAGAACTGTGTGCACCGTCTCAGGCACTGCCCTGGCGGTGACTGCCTGCTGTCAGTGATATCTCAGATATGTCAGCCTCACCACTACTTAGAAGCACTAGATTGTGAGTCCTGGAAGTTTCTATGACTGTTTTGCCCCGACTTAGACCCCCATCTTAGCATTGTACCTGGTTCATAGGAGATGCTCAATAAATACTTTAAAAATGAAGAAATGAACAAATGAATTTTTACATATCATAATGTTCACCAAGATTCTGATGAGAATCATCATTTGCCCTAGTCATTCACTTTCATTTTTCAACAGTGCCTCAAGTTTGTTTTTTCACTGAAGGATCGTAAACATCTGTTTGTAGCTAAAACTCTCAGTCCGCACAATCACATTCCCAAAGAAACCTGATATCAAACAATCAGAAAGAAGAAAAAGAACTCATACATTTTTTAGCAGCCCACTGTCTGATTTTCATTATGCCCAATCTGATTATGTTTAGATCCTGAATATGTGGACAAAGGACTGATTTTTGTTGTTGAAATTTATTTAAAGAGATAGAAGTACAGCTTAGCATGTGTACAGAACATGTATATTTTATACAGATATATACTGTTAAGGATGTAGTGATTGCAAAATAGTTGCTGTGTTTTGGCCTTGGGGTGTTTGGTTGTGTCTCAACAGTTGGAACCATTTCCCTCTGTATTTGCTGAAATGCTGGATCGGGGGAAGATGTCATACTCAATTGAGTTATTCCTCTGGCAGCTCAAGTGGGAAAACCATGATCATTAAATTCAGGAATTTCAGAGGTGGAAGAGGAAAGGGCAGACAACACCACTTCATCTGATTGAGCCAAGTACTGTATGAATAAATATAGTTCAGGTCCTTGAGGGCCTCCTAGTCCAGAAGAGGAGGCATGGAAACAGAAATATGATGTGACGAACTTTGTAAGTGGGGTGCTGTAGGAGCCCAAGGTCCCAGTGCTGAGGGTCAAAAGTACTTGTGTAACTGAGATTCTCTGTGCTTTTGCCCATTCTTGAAACTTTCATTTGTGTCATGGTAAGAATGGGACTGCTATAGCTTTTCGGGTTGTGATCATGAAGTCTTACGTTCACTTTCCTGTGCTTTGGGTACAACACTCTTACCCCTTTTCCCTGGGTGGGGGAACACTTAAACCCTTTCCGCTCCAGAAAGCAGGTAGGATAGCCTGTTGATCGGGGCTTTCTCATCTCCATGGTACTGGGCTTTACAGATAACCTAATCTTGACACAATTTGTTTTAGGAATGGAGTTTTCTGGGACAGTATTGGAGACAGGCACAGATGTCTGCACAGTGAAACAGGTAAATTAGTTGAAATCTAGGCAATTGACGTGTGTGTAGCTATGAGAAATGTGCAAACCTCGTTTTTAGCCTAAGGGTCTTGCTTCTCCTGGCCTTTGCCAGCAGACACCAAAGGGAAACCGAGATGGAGGGGGAAGAACCTAATTTTGAATTGGGAGAAGGAAGCCAGTAGAAGCTCTTGGCTTTGTTAAACTTTTTGTTACTAATAGAAGGCAGCACCTTGGTCTTTAGTTACTGGGATAGAAAATTCTTAAGTTGCAGCTTCTTATGAAAGAAATTAACACTGGATTCTAATTCATCTCAACCTTTTCCTTCCTTGCTCTATCCTATCACTGTCCACAATGTGCTCAGATTGACTTGGCAGCCTGGTGGTGGTGGGCAGGGAGGGGGGAGGGCGTTGAGGAAAGGCTGAATTATTTACTAAACATTAACTCAATAGGTAATTAAGGCAAACTTGTGTCTTATGGGGTCAGAAAGAAAGGTTTTCTTCCTTTTTTTGATTAATTCGGGAAGAGGTAAATGGCAAGGTCGTGCATTTCAACATACCCTTAGTGGCATTTTCCTTTCAGGGAGATCGAGTCATTGGCGTGAGTGGCTTGAATGGGATGGCTGAAGAATGCGTCATTGACCAGAAGGTATCCCTGCTTGGAGACTTTTTTTCCTTCTTCCTTTTCTTTAATTTCCTCCTAGCCTTTATTCCTCATTCTTCTCTCTCCCTTTTTTCTTTGTATTCCTTTGGTCATATCTTGTTTCCCAGCCAAGCACTTCTTTCTTTCAAATGCTAAACCCCTTTTCTATATTGGTGTGAGAACCCTTGCACAGAGCTTTGTCTGGAGTGGTTTAATGAAGCAGGGCATTGTGTTTTCTGAGTCCTGGAGCAACTGGCTGGTTGTCCAGTTGGACCCTAGTTAGATAATTTTGGTGGAAAACTGGTTTGGGGCATTGAGCTGGATGTAATGGGTTTCTCCCTGACATGAAGCTTCTGAGAGAGAGCCCCGGGAATGGAGCCCGCCTGGGTGGCCCTGTATGGTTGTGCAGGGTGTGCATGGTGCCCCCTAGTGGCGAGCAGTACGTATTTTTTCCCCCCACAGCCTTATTGAGGTATCATTTACGCACCATTCAATTCTCCCATTACAGTATAGTGGTCTGTGTTCTGTTCTCTGTAAGTTGGTTCCTTCCTGAGTCAGATGCCAGCCTTAGGATTTTTGAAGACTGATGCAACAGTCTTGAACTCTGTCACAACTTGCTTGTCTTGACTTCCACTGGGCTTGGTTCCTGATGTGTTTCCTTTTGCAAATCAATCAAATCATAAGATGTACAGCAGCCTTTATGAACAGGTACATGGACTTAATTCCTAAGTCACTGTTATCTCTTTTTATAGAGACTGTGGCAGATTCCAGAAAGCATCCCCCTCCGAGAAGCTGCTGCCTTGCCTGCATCTTATGGCACTGCTATTTTGGCCCTGGAGCGTCGGGCCTGTACCCAGCCTGGGTGAGGACTGTGTAGACAACAGAGGGGTAGATGGGACCCTTCTATGATATCAGAAGTGCCCACCAAGACCTTGTCCTTTCCCTTCCCTTCCCTGGTCTTTAGCTCACGTTCAGCCTGTCTGAGGAAAGGCCAAAGGAAGGTGGTGACCTGCAGTTGGGGTCTGGTGATGGTGGAGATGTCCTTTTGTCTGAGAGGGCACAGTAGACTGTGTACTTGGCCAGTATGAATCCGGAGAAATCTCTGTCTCAAACCTGACTGCTCTGGAGGTCACCTCCTAGAAAACCTTAAAGTTTAGAGAGTTGGTTTATTTAAACTGTCTTCACTCTGATTTTAATGGAGGCCAGTGGTATTTGCTTCTGTGAGGCTGGGTTGGGTGGGCCTAATCCGGGTATTTAAAACTCAGCGGTGCTGAAGCTTCCCGCTTTACCTGGAGCATGTGCCTTCTGCTCTTTTCAGAGAGCCTCAGAATTGTTCCAGAGGAGTGGGGTTAGTGGAGCAGTGGCCAGGACATGAAAATCACCTTCTAAAATTTGGCAGCGTTTAGTATGAGAATGATTTTAGGACAGAATTTCTGAAGCAGAAATCAGAGTGGTAGCTCAAAGGAAGGTTGCCACTGGCGTGAGGAAGAGGCTACCTAGAGAGATTAAGGGATCTTTTTCCTGGGACATCTTCAAAACTGGATCAGATTAGCAGTGGTTCAGCAGTCGCCAACCTAACCCAGACCTAAAGGCTGGAGAACGGCTGTCCATGAAGCGTTGAATGAGCTGCCACTAATTTCTCTTCTTGCCTTAAGATGTCCTAGTTTCAAAATATTCATGAAATCATATTGCTGGATGATTTTTGGTTTCTGGAGTAACGTTCTTCTTTCTCTGGCACAGGGAAACGGTTTTAGTGACAGCAGCAGCTGGAGCCACAGGCCTTGCTGTGATAGATGTGGCAACAAATGTTCTTCAGGCCAAGGTATTTGCATGTGAGATTCTCCATTTAAAAAAATCATACCTCCAGTTTTCAAACATGGAATCCATTCATTCATTTATTAAAAATCATGTGCAAGGCACTCGGTATCTTGAGTAATCTAGAGTAGGTTCTTGCCATCGATTTGCTTGCAGACTCCTGAGGGGACCCAGAAGTAAGTCACTCATCCTTCTGGTGACTAGAATTTGGCAAGCTCCGACTTGCTTCACAGCCTCTGCAGATTCTGTTCCTTCTACCTGTAATGCCCTGCACTTCAAATTTAAACTCACATGTCGCTTTTCCAGGGAAGTATTTTTTGGTCCCTCAGGAGCTGTTAATCCCCCACCCTCCCCACTATTTGTGTGTGGTCTCGTAGCATCCTACATTTCTCTTTCATAGTGCTCACCTCAGAGTGTGGTGAGTCCTTTACTTGTGTCATTATTGGATGAATGTCTTCCTCCTGCTGGACTGCAATCCCCGTGAAGGCAGGGACAGTGTCTGTTCGGTTCATTATTGTAGTCTGAGCACCTGGCATGGTGCCTAGACCATAGTGGGCACTCCATGTCTATTTCTTGAGTGAATGAATAAACAAATGAAAGGAAGACCCAAGTCTCTCCAGGGGCATCTCTGTGAGGCTGTGGGGTTCAGAGACGGAGGATTTCTTAGAGAAGGTGGACATTTAAGCTGACTTTTGAAGGACCGGTAGCAGTTGAATAGAGGAAGAAGGGAAGTGAAGGCCGTTTTCATGGTGGGAGGACATATTAGAAGACAGAGATGTGGGAGCTAACATAATGCGTTCAGGGAATTGCAGGCAGTCTATGTGGAGCGAAGGATCTCTGGGGGTTGGTGGAAGATGACTCTAGAGAGGTGGGCAGAGATATGATCTTGAGGACTGAAGAATTTGAACATTTATCGGAAGCTCTCGAGCTATCGAGGATTTTAAGTAGGGAAGTGACAAGATCATCTTTGCATTTTGCAAAGTTCTCTTTGGTAGCAGTGGGGATGAGGGGTAGGGGCAAGGCCAGGGTAGTCTGGAGGCAGTAGGGAGACTCTCAGAGAAGTCCAAGCCAGAGGTGATGGTACTTGAACAAGGCAGTGGAGGCGATGAATTAAGAGATACTAAAGTGGAAGAAAATAGAGCATTTGGTGACTGGAGAGCATCCTAAAATAGTTGAAGGAGAAAAGACTTTGAAGTTAGCCTGACCCAGGCTCAAATTCCAGCTCTCCTCTAGCTTAATCACTTCAGTTTCCTCAGTGGTAAAATACTGCTTTCCTACTAGGGTTGTTGTGGGAATATTGAAATTACACGTGCAGTGCGCCTGTTAGAGGGAATGGCACATCGGTAAGAATCTCTTAAAAAGGAATCCTGTTATTATTAGACATTGAGTGGGAAGGAGCAAACTAGGTTAACCTGTGGATTTGCCATTTATTTGCGGTTGAGAACACAGGAGGAAATGATGAGTTCCATTTTGGACATGTTGAGTGTGAGGTTCCTGTGGACCATGCACTTGGGAGGATATCCAGAAGGCACCAAGATATCCAGGTTTGGAGATAATTAGATTGGTCTGCAATTTCTTCAGGTGGCATCTCTCCTTTCTCACATTCAGTTCCTTTTGGGAAGGACATGTGAGTTCTGAAAGCAATCTTAGATACCAGGAGGCTCCTCACGGAGTGTTAACACATTTCATGTCAAAAGCAAGGGCTTTTAGCACCTCTTGTAGGAGGGGAACCAAAATTAGTCTCATTGTCTAGAACCATTGATTATTTAACATTTCTAGGAAAATAAAATTGTACATTTGTTTTAAATAGTTATAGGAAGTAGAGTGAAAAGTTCATTTCAATCCATATATTAAAATGAATACAAGCTGTATTTTCTTTAGCATCAATAATAGTTTTCAGCAAGAGCGAGCAAACAAACAAACAAACAAAAATAGAGGCCAGGCTGGTGACGCAGTGGTTAAGTTCACACGTTCCACTTCGGTGGCCCAGGGTTCCCCGGTTCAGATCCCAGGTGTGAACATATGCACCACTTGTCAAGCCATGCTGTGGCAGGCGTCCCGCACATAAAGTAGAGGAAGATGAGCACGGATGTTAGCTCAGGGCCAGTCTTCCTCAGCGAAAAGAGGAGGATTGGCAGCAGATGTTAGCTCAGGGCTAATCTTCCTCAAAAAAAAAATAACAATACCAAAAAAAGAAAATGATGTCGTCATGCCACCTGCTTGGAACAGGTCATTTTGATAACACCTTCCATTCACAGCGTTTCCAATTGCGTTCAAAGTGCCTCTACAGCTGTTATCTTACCCTTGATCCTCTCAAAACCCCTAGGAGTTGGGTAATGTAAGTGTTTGTTATCCCTATTTCACAGATAAAGAAAGTGAGGCATCAAGAGAGACAGTGATTCCTGGCAGGCCTGGCTGGGACCTAGTGAGAATCCTGGATTGGACTCAGAGGCCGGGCCCTAGCCTGTGTCCGCCCTCCGAGGCACTGTGTGCTGATAGCCGGCGGTGAACTGCAGCTGTTTGAGGGTTTCACTGGGGAGCATTTGAGGGTCGCTTCAGTTTCAAATAGTCCTGAGTGAGTTTGTAGTATTTTAAGGGCCCTGATGTTCTTGCGTGCCTGAATGCAAGTTCTGAATGTCACCTTGGGGCCAAGTGCTTGGGCTGCTGGGTGCTGCCCAGTGATAAGGTCCCTCTAGGCAATGCTTGAGTATTTGAAACTTTTCTGAAGACTTCCAAACCCCAGGCCACCTCAAAGTATGGCCCACAGCCATCTATGCCAGGCCTTGAGCGTGGTTTACTCCTGGGGTGAGGGCTTGCAAAAGCATGGGCTTTGGAGTCAGGCAGCAGTGAGTCTGATTAGTTGTTCTGCCACCTACTGCTTGGATGATCCTGGTTTAATTACTTAACCTCTCTGGGCCTGTGTCTCCATCTATAAAATGGGAGTAATTAGACCTCCCCCATAACGTTCTTCTGAGGTTTAAATAGAATAAATGATTGCATAGGTGTAATAGTAGATTCAATTTATCTAATACTTCGTTTTCCAAGTGCGTTATATACAGTATTCCATTTAATTTTTAAAATAAATTGTATTTTATGGATGAGGTAACTGAAGCTTAAGAGAAGTTGGCAGGCAGGATAGAGGTTAAAAGCGTGAACTCTGGACGCAGATTGCCGGGATTTGGATCCCGCTTCTGCTTCCCGTTAGCTGTGTGACCTTGGGCAAGGTACTTAACTTCGTTTGCCTCAAGTTCTTCATCTCTAAATTGGAGATAATAGTGTCTATCATTGGGCTATTGAGCTTAAATGAGTTATTAATGTACATAAAGCATTTAGAATAGTGCCTGGCACGTAGTAAGCATTATGTAAATATTAGTTCTTACTAAGTAATTTGCCTTAGGTAACACAGCTAGTTAGTAGCAGAGCCAGGATTTGAACTCAGGTCCGTCTGACTTCAAGATCTTTCCACTGAATCATATTTTACCCTCTGGGAAGCTTTTCCTGATCTTCGGGATCTAGGTTGGATACCTCTTGTTTGCACTTCTGGAACCCTCTGTACTTCCCCCATCACACTGCTGTATCTTGCTTTCTTGACTCTAACCTTCGTATTTAGCTTGTATCCTTACTATTTGACTCATAGTAGGTGCTCAATAAATGGTGGCTTTAATTTGCATTTGGAGAAGACTTTCTGAGTGTCTCCTGAACCATCTCCTAGTTAGACCCATTGGGGTTCCAGGATTCCTGGAAATGTAGAACCCCTGGCCAGTGGGGCATGAAGGGGCCAGTGATGGATGGATTGTGTTGGGCCTGATATGTTGGATTGTTGATGCTAGGACATCAAGGTCACATTGGTTTCCTTGATTAGTACCCTTTGGTTGGAGTCTGAGTGGGTGGGGTGAGCCCCTCTTGGTATATATTCTGGACCATCAGAAGCTTTGTGTTCTTTATGCAGGTAATAGCTGCAGCCGGAAGTGACGAGAAGTGCAAGCTGGCGATGCAGAGGGGTGCACAGTCCAGCGTGAACTACAGTCAGGGCAGCCTGAAGGAGGCAGTGAAGAAGCTGGTGGGCAGTGGTGGGGTGAATGTGGTCATTGACACCGTGGGAGGAGATGTCTTCCTGGAGGCTCTCCACAGGTGCATGAAGTGGGCTTTCCATAGTGGGCTGGACCTGTGGCTCTGTTGAAACCTTTTCAGGCCTCTGTCTTCCTTCTGGCCTTGCTTCTCTTTCGTCTTTGCTGCTCACTTTTCCTGTAGGCATCAGCATCAACGAGAACAGCTGAGTGGGTGGTGAAAGGAATAGAAGCAGAGGGAAAATCAGGAAATGCTTAAATATAGCAAAAACAAAATATCCAACTGGAAAATATCCAAAAAATGACTGCAGACTCTCTAGTTGGCAATATCAAATGCTTTAGAAATTATGCATGTGTTAAATTCAGCTATGCTGGCCCCCACTAACTAATTTATATACATGGTGTGGGTAATTTTCGGGAAGGTCATCGTTCAGATGTGAGAATTACTGGGGTGGCAGTTCCCTAGTTCACCATGCACTAAGGTACAGACTCTTGATCTTGCTGGTTTCTGAAGCAGCCAGCAGTGTAGGTGTCTCTTCAATTTGTTTTATTAAAAAAAATATCACTGAAGATTTAGTACGACTGCTGTATCCACACCAGTTCTCATTCTGTTTTCGACCAGGGACTCTGGAGTGCTCTGATAATATTGGTTTCATTTCTCGTGTCATCCTGGCAAGCACAGTTTTGTGGTTTATCTCAGTTTGAAGTAGAAGAAACAGAAGCAGAGAGAGCAGCTTACCCACAGAAGGGGCCCAGTTGGTTCTGTAGCCCCTGAGTCTCACCTTGCTGTGCTTGGTACTGTGCTGGAGAAGAAGTGAAGGAAGGAGCGTGTTGATTAAATGAAGAGCCAGCACAGATTGCTGCTAATAATGCTCACCCTTCTCTTGCCTTCTGGATAATAGTGTTTTGACAACAGCTTCTCGTTTGCCTTCTGAAGAAGAAAAGCAAAAATCAAAAACCAAATAAACATACGCATATTTTATATCTAAGATGCTTACAGAATTTATTTTTGGAACTCATTGCTTCATGTGCACTGTATGGTACTTCTCATAATGGCCTGCAGAAAATTTGTGTGAATTTTTGTAGATTATTCACAATTCTCTAGAGAAGCACATGACTAAAGTTAAGTCTTTGTGTAGAGCAAATGATGCCTCCTTAAACTGCCTGTCTTCTTATTCCTGCTTCCTAAGTTCCGAATCTTCAAACTGAGTTGTCTTGAAGGAGAGCATGTGGAATGATATTTGTTTACACTCAGTTCCCTTCCACAAAGTAGTTGACGTGATCATGGGCCACATAAGGACATTTTGGTCGATGATGGACTGTGTAGACAACAGCGGTCCCCTAAGATTAGTACCATACAGCCTAGGTGTGTAGTAGGCTGTACCATCTAGGTTTGTGTAAGCACACTCTAGGATGTTCACACAATAACGACATCGCCTAATGATGCATTTCTCAGAATGTGTCCCCGTCGTTAAGTGATGCATGACCGTGGTTAGACAGACAGCCTTGATTCTAAAAGTGGGTCCCCTTAAAAAACTGGCTAGTTCTTCTGGCCCCCTACTGACCTGCTTATGGCTTATTTTTATATTTTCCTACTGAGGAATCCAAAGTGGTACAGGATGGTTCACCTCTGCCAGTTTGTAAGGTCAAGTGGAATTCTCAGCTGGGAGTTTAATTGTTGCTTTTCTTTTTTTAAATTGTGATAAAATATGCATGACCTAATATTTATCATTTAACCATTTGTAAGTGTACAATTCAGGGACATTAAATACACTTACAGTATTGTGTCACCATCCCCAACAAAAACTTTGTCCAGGGGCTGGCCCCGTGGCCGAGTGGTTAAGTTCCTGCGCTCTGCTTCAGCGGCCCAGGGTTTTGCTGGTTCGAATACTGGGTTTGGACATGGCACTACTCGTCAGGCCATGCTGGGGCGGCATCCCACATGCCACAACTAGAAGGACCGACAACTAAAATATACAACTATGCACTGGGGGGACTTGGGGAGCAAAAGCAGAAAAAACCCCAAAACCAAAAACTCTGTCCGTTACACAGTAACTGTTCCTTTCTCTGCTCCAACTCCCCACCCTGGTAACATCTATTCTACTTTCTGTCTCTATGAATTCATGTACATTACTTTTTATTTCATTCTACCTTTTTATTGTGGTAGAAAAATACATAACATAAAATATGCTATATTAACCATTTTTAATTATATAGCTCAGTAGTGTTGAGTATATTTACGTTGTTGTGAAATAGATCTCTAACTTTTCTGTCCTGCAAATCTGAAATTCTGTACCCATTAAACAGCAACTCCTCTTTTCCCCTTTTCCCCAGCCCCTCGTAACCGTCATCCTACTTTCTGCTTCTGTGAATCTGACTACTCTGGGTACCTCATATAAGTAAAATCACACGGTATTTGTCTTTTTGTAATTGGCTTGTTTCGCTTAGCATAATGTCCTTAAGTTTCATCCACGTTGTAACATGTAATGGGGTTTTCTTCCTTTTAAGGCTGAAGAGTATTCTATTGTATAAATATCTGTCTAACACATTTTGTTTATCCGTCCATCCATTGATGGACATTTGGGTTGCTTCTACCTCCTGGCTATTGTAGACAGTGCTGCTGTGAACATGGGTGTGCACATACCTCTTCAAGGCCCTGCTTTCAATTCTTTTGGATATAGACCAGAAGTGGGATTCCTGGATCATATGGTGGTCCTATTTTAATTCTTTGAGGAACCTCCGTACTGTTTTCCATAGCAGTTGCACCATTTTACAATCCCACCAACAGTACATGAGGATATCAGTTTCTCTATATCCTTGTCAACACTTGTTATTTTGTTTTTTCAATTAAAAAATTTTTTTATAGTAGCCATTCTAATGGGTATGAATATACATTGCTTTTTATAATTTCTTTTCCTTCTCCTTTTTCTCCTTAGCCTGGCATGGGAGGGCAGGATTGTGGTGGTGGGTTTTGCTGGAGGAACCATCGCTTCTGTGCCAGCCAACCTCTTGCTCCTGAAGAATGTGTCTGCCATGGGGGTGATCTGGGGCCGATACAAAGATCAGAACTTTCCTCTCTTCTCTGGAAGCATTTCCTCGGCTCTTCAGTACTGCCAGCAAGGGCGCATCCAGCCATACATTGGAGCGGTTTTTAAGCTGGAGGAGGTAAGATGCTCTTAAGGAGTGAGATGCTCTTAAGGGATGTGATGCAGATAAGGCTAGGAAATAATCTGTGTCAAACTCCTGGATAGTTTCTCCCTGGATACCGTAAATCCTCCTTCTATGGAATGAAAAGGTGAAAATGCAGCACAGTTAATGGGGTCTCACAGGCTGCAGTGTCACAGGATTTCTTCCTGTCTTCTAGGTTGTATGACTGTAGACTCAGGCGTAGTGAGCCACCTGGGAACCTGAATCTGCAAAGGCCATGAAGGAGCTGGATTTTTAGGACTCTATGTACTTAACTAGTGTCTCAAAGAGAGGGAAGTGATGGTACTTTAGAAAATAATTTACTCGTGTTAATATGAACTCTGAACTCCACCTCATACGAGTCTAAGAAGGAAGCACTTAACTTGACCTTTGATGTTAGAATCCAGACGCTTTAAAGTGCAACCAGATGATCTAAGCTGGGGTTCTGTGAACAAAACACTAAATCATACCCAGCATCATAAGACTATAATTCATCCATTAGTCACTGCAGTTAATTTTGTTGGCCGTTCACTACCTTTTGCATTCCCCCACGGTCCCGTTAATGTGGCTTAAGCTTCCTCCAAAGTGTAATTGTGTGCATGCATGTGCAATATAGTTGTAAATGTGAATCTGTTAGACTTTCACTGTGAAGTTTTTTTGGGGGCTTAATTTGTTTTAATGTACAAAAAGCTCTTTTGGTAACTGCTGTCAGCCATTGATAGAGGTGGTGTTTTGTTCATATGCAGATTAGCGGAGCCCAAGCTGTCAGTGCCAGACTTCACTCTCACCAGCCTTCCATTTTTATGTTTTTTCCCATGATGAGGCACATTCTTGCCAAACACCGTTTACCTTCTTCCTCATCTTTTTGGTGTGTCAGTCAAGAAGGTAGAAAGAGAACCTGACTGGCCGTCAGAGAGCTGGCTGGGTTCTATTTCCAGCTTTGGCCCCTCTAGGTACAGCTCTGTTCAGCCCCCTCACCTTTCTGACCTTCAGTTTCCGCGTCTCTAAAATTGAGGGGTAGGACAATATCAGTGGCTTTCAGACTAGGCTTCAGGAGCCGCAGTTGGGATGTGGGGGAGGCAGGTGTAGACTTGAGCTGCCGGGGCTCTGGGACCCCATCTCCACTGGGGCCTGAGTAGCTGCATGTGGTTACGTTTTTGTTCATACTTTTAGAAAAGGTTTTATGGCTTAAAAGCTTGAAAACCACCAGTTTGGAGAATTTCTGAGTCCCCTTCCATCTTGTGGCTTTTATCCTATGACTTGTAGACTGACGTTTGCTTTACCTGAGGCCCTCGTATACCTGTTGCTGGAGGGTAAGGACAATCAGGCAGCAGAGGGGTGGAACCGCGCGCTGGTTTGAACGGTCTCTTCTCTCCGCTGACGTCTTCTAAGTGCTGCTCAGGCATGAAAGAAGGCCAGAGGTGGATTATTGTTTTAATTGCCCACATTGAAGTGCTCTCTCCTCTTACACACGAATTAACTATCTGCTCACTGACCTCCTGTCAGCTTCCGTTTGCCTTTCTCCTTTCCAGTGAGGGCTGTACACATAGGATTTGTCAAGTTCCTCCCCCTCTGCTGACCTTCCTGTTATCAGCCGGCTCTCTGAGGCCATGCCCCTCAACAATTTCAACCATCTCATTCACACACCATCCATTTACTGTTTCTTCCCTTTCTGTTTCTTTCAATATGCAAACTATTTAGAGGAATAATAATAATAATAATAATAATAATAATGGCAGCTTCCAAACATTAGGTGCTTACTCTGGGTCAAGAACTGTGCTAAGCACTTTATATGCATTTTCTCATTTAATCTTCACAACAACCCTTTGAGATATGAACCATTTTTATCATGTTTTACTATGAGGAATTCAAGACTTGTAGAGGCTAAGAAAGCTGGCCAGTGAAATGTAGTAAGTGACAGACCTGGAATCCACTCCGGCTTGGTCTGACGTCAGAATCTGGCCTCCTATGGCCATGTCAAGGTCTCTCCTCAAAAAAGCCAGGAAGTTTCTTCTTAGAGACATTATTCTAGGGGGCTGGCCCCGTGGCCAAGTGGTTAAGTTCACACACTCCGCTTCGGGGGCCCAGGGTTTCGCCAGTTCGGATCCTGGGCGTGGATATGGCACCAGTCATCAGGCCGTGCTGAGGTGGCGTCCCATATAGCACAACCAGAAGGGCCACAACTACAATATACAACTATGTACTGGAGGGGTTTGGGGAGAAAAAGCAGAAAGAAAAAAAAAGGAAGATTGGCAACAGTTGTTAGCTCAGGTGCCAATCTTTAAAAAAAAAGAAAAGAAACCTCGTTCTAGAGAATGAAGTTTATCCATCTATCAGTGAATTATCTATGTGAAAGAACTATTTCATAGTTAAAACTACGAGGAGTCTTGAATTTTCCCGAGCAGTACCAGAATTTATGTATATATATTTTTTAAAATGATGATTAAATGACTATATAATTAATTTCACTTAACTTAAAGCCTGGTTAATATTTTTCATGTATAAGGGTGCTCTGCAGTTTCTATTTTCTCCTGCATATGTGGACTTAAAGGTTTGACCTTGATAGTTGATATTACTATGACCAGATACTTTGTCCCATAGCCTTCGTAGTCGGCACAGGGTGCGAATTTTCGTAGCCCTCTGTGTGTCTCCTTCATCTACTTGTAATCACTTGTTCGATGCCCGTCATTCCCGTACACCATAAACTCCCTGTGGGCAGGGGCCGTGTGCTGTCTGCACCTCCGTGTCTCCAGGTTCTGGTGGGTACGCATCTGTTGAATGACTGATTGAGAGTTTGGGGCTCTAGGGTCAGATCTGCCACTTAATTGGCTGTGGACAAATGACGTCCATCTTTGTGCCTTAGCTTCCCCCTCTATAAAGGGGAGTAATATACTGTACATGCTAGGGTGGTTATGAGAATTCAGTAAGATAATACGTGTAAAAGCACACAGTAAACACTTAGTATATTTTTTAAAGCAAAATATATAGCCATTATTAAATCCAGAGTTGAGCTTTTTCAGTTCCCGTGAACTGTAACACTTTTGCATTGACATTTCGGAGGGCAGGATTAGAGAGACAGTCTTTAGGTTTTGGATTTTAACTAGAATTTGTCCTCTGAAGGGTTGTCTCTGTGCCATGGTGGGTGGATCATGGATGAGCCCATGATCTGTTCAGAGGATGGCATTATTTAGATGTGTGGAGTCTGTTTTCTGTAGGGAGCTGCCCACACACATCTCGACCTGACCTGCTACTTAAACCTCACAGATCTGAGCTTGTTTAGTATATAAAGGTCAGGTGAGATCACCACATGTACAGATTTAGTGGATAGAAATTGTTTACTCGAAGTTTCCTGAGTCTATCTGTGGAATATTCTTTAAATTACTCTTTTAGTTTAGATGGTATATTAATTTTAACCCATTGTTCCAGACCCAGTTTATGAGCCTCCCCATATTTGCCAGCCCTACCAGCCCCAGGCCTTGGACACTTGTCACACTTCTCCAGTGATGGCTCAGGCCGCTGATCCCTGCAGCCAAAGAGCCCAGACTCTGTGCCTAGGGCCCACTCCTAACATCGTTGATCGTTTCATGCTTTCCCCGGGGGGAGAGCTGATCTTAGGCAAGGTCTCCATTTTGCTCATTGGCGGGGAGCTGCTGCAGCTCCGATGCAGAGTCTGGGCCGGAGGACCTATTGAAGCTCTGGCTTCCGGGGAAACTGGATGCAGGGGTCTGGGTAATGCAACCCAGGGTGTGGGGAGTTCACTCCATGGGGCGAGCTTTGACAAATGGAAGACAGGAGATAAATTGCTGCCTTTTTCCCTCCTGATGGACTGTTTTGACGTGCAGTGGGTTCCATACGGCCCCTCTGGAGAGGTCCTGTGTGAGCAACTACTAGCTGTGTGCCCCCTGAAGCCATGACCAGTTCAGGATCAGTAACACGCACCGTATCCTTTTCCTTCTTCCTCGGTTCCCTTCACTTTTTCTCTCGCCCTTCCCTCCCTGGGATTGCAATGAAGCATTAGGGCATATGTTTTGATTTGGCTTTATTTTCTAAGGAACCCAGGGTAACATTTAATTTTGAAAATGTATTTATTTCTATGTTTCATAATATGTAGTTTGACTTTTTTTAAAAAAATAAGTCAGGTTTATTGAGGTATAATTTCCATATATTAAAATTCACTCTGAGTCTTAAAAAACATATATAGTCATGTAACCACCCTCTACAATCAAAATATAAAACATTTCTATTACTCCAGAAGGTTCCCTTGTGCCCCTTTGTAATCAATCCTCTTCTCTTACCCCACTGTCCCTGGCAACCTCTGATCTGTTTTCTCTCCCCATAATTTTGCCTTTTCTGGAATGTCTTATAAATGGAATCATACAGGACGTAGCCTTTTGAGTGTGGCTTCTTTAATTTTGTGTGATGCTTCTGAGGATTACCCATGTTTTTACAATATGTCAGAAGTTTTTCTTTTTTGTTGCTGAATAGTATTTCATTGTATGGATATACCTCAACTCGTTTTTTCATTCACCCATTAATAGATGTTTGGTTATTTTCAGTTTTTGGTGATTATGAATAAATCTTTTGTAAACATTCATGTACAACTTTTTTTTTTTTGAGGAAGATTAGCCCTGAGCTAACATCTGTGCCCATCTTCCTCCACTTTATATGTGGGATGCCTACCACAGCATGGCTTGCCAAGCGGTGCCATGTCTGTACCCGGGATCCCAACTGATGAGCCCCGGGCCACCGAAGCAGAACGTGCAAACTTAACCAGTGCGCCACTGGGTCAGCCCCATTCGTGTACAACATTTGTAGAGACATATGCTTTTCCTAGTTTGGGCTTGGGATTTCTGGGTCATGTGCTAAGTGTATGTTTTAAAAAAATTTACACAGACATTTAGTTGACTTTACTTACAGAGCAGGTTTTTTTTTTTTACCCCCAGTCTCCAATGCTGCCCAGATAATATCATTAGATAGAATGTCAGTTTAAAAGAAATCTATGCAGAATCCTACAAATAAGAGATGTTGATGCTCCTCAAGAAGGGTGAGCTTGACTATATCAGCAGCTCTCTGTGCCTCAGTTACTCAGTAGAAATTCTGTTGAGTCTCTGCCCTTCATGATTTTTAAGACAAGGCCACAATTACTGCATTCCTCTCAAAGCCCAGAGCACATAGGTTTTCTACTTTTTGGTGCATTCTGGATTAGAAACTGGTGCTCCAGCATACATGATCTGTTTGAACATTTCAAGATTCTGTTTATGCTGATTGCTACGCTATGTTTAACTTTTAGTAAACTACCAGCTATTCATTTGAGTGTCATTGCTTCTTGGCCTTTTGGCTAAGATCAAGTGCAGAATGGTTGTATTATTTTGGGTTCCCACCAACAATATATCAAAGTTCTAGTTCTTCTGCATCTGCCAGAACTTAGTATTGTCAGTTGTTTCTTTAATGTTAGCCGTTCCAACAGATGTGTAGTGGTATCTGATTGTGGGTTTAATTTGCATTTCTGTATTGAATAATGATCTTGAGTCTCTTTCCATATGCTCATTGGCCATCTGTATGTCTTTTTTGGTGAAATGCATTGACTGACTTTAAAAGAAAATTCAGATCAACTTGTATCAGAGCAATGATATGATGAATATAATTTAACTTTGACAGTGTATCACTAACTAAATATTTTTACCTTTTAAAAACAATCCCACTCAGTCCCAGATATATTCGCTCATTCAAGAGTTTGTTTTATTCATCAGACATTCACTGGGTACATTCTGTATGCCAGTCAATAAAAAGTAAGACAAGCAATTTATCTTTTAGTTGGGATGATCTCAGACTAGTGCTGTGATTGGGGGGAAGAGCTGGTTTCTAATGAAAGCGTGAATCAGCATAGTGTATTTAGGGAACTGTAGGTTACTGTGATTATTCCCGCTTGATGAGCTAATTAAAAATTCCAACAGCAGAACCTAAAACAAAAACAATATCCTCACCCTTCCTCTCAATTCCAGGTTGTATATCTTTAGAGACAAATTTAATAATGGCTTCATCCACTGCGAGGCAGAGAACCAGGGTTCTGGGAACAGCCTGTGTGTCTGTCCAGGCATCAGGATGGAGAAGCCTCCCTGTCTCTGATGCAGCCTGTCCAATCCAGGAGGACGATGTCCCAGGCATCTGAATGAGCTATCAAAGACGCTGGCCTAAAGTGGTACGCTTTTCTTCTTAGTCTCTCTCCCAGAGCCTTATCACATCCAGTCCTTAACACCGCTGGTTGTCTGTTTTCCCAGTGCAGATAGAAACCACACGGTAGAAAGGGACAGAGTTGGGTTATTTTTAGAAGCAGCTACAATCACAACAGAAGTGGCAACTGGGCATAGAAGTAACAGAACATTTGAGAGACAGGAGGGAAAATACTGGATGTTCAAAATTATGAAATTCCCAAGTCATGGACCAAAAGGTTATTCTTTCTTCCCAATGTTATCTTTTAAAGAAGTCAGGTCAATATGTGCTCCATTTTTATGAACATTTATTTGCAAAATGATTAAGAATAAGCCTTAGCACTTGAAGGGACAACTTTCTTTTTATGTTAGCGTTTACTTGCAGGAGACTCCTCATTTTTCTAGGATGCCAGGTAAAAAAAGGATCACTGTCTCAAATTATGCTTGTTTTCCCAAGGATTTTCTGTTGTTGGGCTCTGACAGATCTCTGGGAACAAGTGCCTTCTAACTGACAGGGAGAGTGATGCAGCTGTGAGTCGCTTGGAGCTGTACCTTTGAGTGACTGACATGGCGGGGATGCGGGTTTCAAACATCTGTCTTAGACCTCTCCATCTCCTCTGAGTGCGTCTAAATTTACTTACATCGGAAAGGTCTCTGTAAGGCACAGAGCCCTGAAAGACAGATGTTTTTGAAACCGGGGATTTCATGCTGCACAGAGATTGCCCTGATTGATTTGTTTCTATGCTTATTTTTACTTATTTATTTTTCTTAGGCTCTTTGGGGAGGATTTCAAGTGGAAAGGGTTGGGTAATCAGAATCCTCATTTCAAAGCACATTTTCATTGTTGGATGTGTAAGACCCATCTTTTGCTTTTATGTCTGTGTCTTTATGGGTGTCTGAGTTTACTTATTCCCTTTATCCACATTTCCCATTGTCATTCACTCCTTTTCCTGCCCTCAGAGTCAGTCTTGATAATGTGTTTAATACATATCTTTGGATTTGTATTTCCTTGTAAAACATAGGATTGTTTTGTATGCTAATTTATTTTCAAGTTACGTAAATAGTGTTGTGCTGTAGACCTCATTCTGTTTCTTAATTTTTCATGCAGTGCTGTCTTTTTAAGATCCATCTGTGTTGCTGGTCCTGTATTCAGGTCGTTGCTTCCCAGTGCTGCATCGTAGTCCATGGCGTGCGTCCACCATGGTGTACAGATCCATTCCTTACTGATAAACTTCTAGGTTGACTTGATTCCCTCCCACCATAATCAATACTATAATAAACAGTCTCATAGGTGACTGTAGGGACTTGTGCAAATGTTGCTCTGGGAGTATTTTCCCAGGAGTAGCATGGTTGGGTCACAGGTTGTATGCATTTGATTGCCAACTGTTCTCCAGAATGACTTGACCAGTTTATGCCCCTACCAGCATCCATGCGAATTCATGTTTATTTGCCACCCTGTCAATGTGTAGTGTTGTCCAACTTTCTGATTTTTGCCAAATTGATAGGCATAAGGTGGTACCCTATGGTTTTAATTTGCATTCCCCTGGTTTCTAATTCATTTAAGCATCTCTCTATATCTGCTAGCCATTCATATTTCCAATCGTTTAAATTGCGATTTAAACCCTTTGTGCAGTTTTCAGTGGGATTTCCTGTCTCTTTCTTACTAATTTGCAAAAGTTCCTTGTATAATCTGTGGTTCTCAAACTTTAATGTGTGTATGAGTCACCTGAGGATCTTGTTATGAAGCAGATTATGATTCACTAGGGTTGGGATGGATCTCAAGATTGTGCATTTCTAATGAGCTCCCAGATGGTGCGGAAGACTATGGTCTTGGAACCACCCTGTGAGTAGCAAGGTTCTAGATGTTAGCTTGAGACTTTACAAAAGTCTGTCCTTCCAAATTTGTCATGTACCTGTCACCTTTGTCTAGATTTAATGTAATCAAACACATCAATATTTTGACTTATGGTTAGTGCTCGTTGGGACTTATTTAATAAGTCCTTTGTCATCCCTGGGTCACAGTGATTTTTCTTCTTTTTCTCTATTGACTTTGCACTTTTATTTCTCACTTAAGGGTTTAATCCATCTGAAGTCACGTTTGTATTGGGTATAAATTAGGTAATCAATTTTTTTTCTCCTTATGGTGAGCTAGTTTTCTCAGACCAAATAGTTCATTGTTTCTCCATTGATTTGTGGTGCTACCTTAATCTTATTTCAAGTTCCCAGCTGTACATGCGTCTGCTCTCTGATTTCCATTCTATCGCTTGGTTCACATATCTGTTCCTATAATAGTATCACACTGTTTTTATGTTTATAGCTTCAAAGTATGTTTTAGTATCTGGAGAGGGAACTCTTCCACTTTTGTTCTTCTTTTTCAAATTTGCCTTAGCTATTTGTGAATCTTTATCCTTTTAGGTAAATTTTGGAATAAATTTGTTCAGTTTCTCAAAAAATCTGGCTGAAATTTTCAGTGGAATTGCGTTGACTTTGTAGATTAATTTGGAGGAGCGTTGATATTTTTATAATGTTAAACAGCCTTATTTGTGAACGAGGATATGTTGCCATTTATTCAGCTCTTTCATGTGTTTAAATAGAATTTAAAGTTTTTCTCCATAAAGTCTTGTGGATTATTCTTAGTTATGTTAATTGCAAGTACTTTACTGTTTTGGTTGCCTTTGAGAACAGTATTTTATTTCTGTTATATTTCCTAGTTGATTATTTCTGATATAGAGAAATGTCAGTAATTTTTGTAAGCTGATCTTGTGTTTCACAATTTTGCTGCCCTTTCTTATTTGTTTGTCTGTTGCTTTGATTACATTTTCTATGTGGGTTATTATATTGTCTGCAAATAATGACACTCTTGTCTATTTCCTTCCAATCTTCTTTGCCTTTTAAAATTTAAAATTTTTGCATTTATTATTTATTTTATTAAAAAAATCAATAGACTTTATTTTTTGAGCAGTTTTTGGTTGCCAGAAAATTCAACAGAAAGTATAGCATGTTCTCATATACTCTCTTTCCCACCTCCCAGTTTCCGCTATTATTAACATCTTCTATTGGTGTGGTAGATTTGCTATGATAGGTAAACCTATATTGATACGTTATAATTAACTAAAGTTTTTAGTTTACTTTAGGGTTCATTCTTTGTGCTGTACAGTTCAAAGGTTTTGCCAAGTGCATAATGTCATGTATCTACCATTACAGTATCAAACAGAATAGCTACACTACTCTAAAAATGCCCTGGGCTCCACATATTTACTCCTGCTCCCCAACCTCAAATCCCTGGCAGCCACTGATCTTTTTACTGTCTCTATAGTTTTGCCTTTTCCAGAATGTGATGTAGTTGAAATCATACAGTATGTAGCCTTTTCTGACTGGTTGCTTTTATTAGGCAATATGCATTTAAGATTCTTCCATGTTTTTTTGTAGTTTGATAGCATATTTCTTATCACTGAATAATATTCCATTGTCTGATGTACCACAGTTTGTTTACTCAGTCACCTATTAAAGGACATCTTGGTTGCTCCCAGGTTTTGCCAGTTATGAATAAGGTTGCTATAAACATTTGTGTGCAGGTTTTCATGTGGACATAAGCTTTCAACTTATTTGAGTAAATACCTAGGAATGTGATTGCTGGATCATATGATAAGATTATGTTTAGCTTTGTAAGCGACTGCCAAACTGCCTTCCAAAGTGGCTGTACCATTTTGCATTCCCTCCAGCAATGAATGAGAGTTCCTGTTGCTCCACATCCTTGTCAGCATTTGGTGTTGTGAGTGTTCTGGATTTTGGCTATTCTGTTAGGTGTGTAGTGGTGTCTCATTGTTGTTTTAATTTGCAATTCCCTAATGACATATGATATTGGGGATCTTTTCATATACTTATTTGCCATCTGTATATTTTCTTTGGTGAGATGTCTGTTAAGGTCTTTGGCACTTTTGTTTGTTTGTTTGTTTGTTTTTGGTGAGGAAGATTCGCCCTGAGCTAACATCCATTGCCAGTCTTCCTCTTTTTTTTTTCTTTGCTTGAGAAAGACTAGCCCTGAGCTAACATTCATGTCAGTCTTCCTTTACTTTGTACGTGGGTTGCCTCCACAAAGTGGCCTGTTAGTGGAATAGGTCCACAACCAGGATCCGAACCCCCAAACCCAGGCTGCCGAAATGGAGTGTGGGGAACTTGAACCACTCAGCCCCGGAGCTGGCCCCACGTATTTTAACTAAGTTGTTTGTTTTCTTATTGTTGAGTTTTAAGAATTCTTTGTATATTTTAGATACAAGATCTTTATCAGATATGTGTTTTGCCAAGATTTTCTCCCAGGCCGTGGCTTGTGCTTTCATTCTTTAAAGTTTCTTTTGCAGAGCAGAAGTTTTTAATTTTAATGATGACCATCTTACCAATTTTTTCTTTCGTAGATCATGCTTTTAGTGTTATATCTAAAAACTCATTGCTAAACCCAAGGCAACTTAGATTTTTTTTCCTTTGTTTTCTTCTGAAATGTCATAGTTTTGCCTTTTACATTTAGGTGTAAGATCCATTTTGCGTTAATTTTTGTGAAAGATGTAAGGACAGCATGTTGATTCATTTTTTTGCATGTGGATGTCCAGTTGGTCTGCACCGTTTCTTGAAAAGACTATCCTTTCTCCATTGAGTTTCCTCTGCTCCTTTATCAAAGTTCAGTTGACTATATTTGTATGGGTCTATTTCTGGGCTCTCTAATCTGCTCCATTGATCTGTTAGTCTCTTCTTTCCCCGATACCACACTGCCATGATTACTGCGGCTGCTTTTTAATTCATGTTTTATAAGCTTGTGCTTCTAAAAAAGGATTTGAGATAGACTGCAATTTCAGTTACACTGGAAACAGGACAATTTTAATAAAGAGATAAAAACTGTAAGAAGTTAAAGGATTGATTCTTCTGGCAGTGGCTCTGTTCTTTCAAAAGCTAGAACACATAGAAATACTACAGTAGAGTATAGACAGGCCTGAGGACTTCTTACCTGCTGTCATTCATCTAACAACTTTGAAAGTTATTGTTAAACAGAAAAATTCTGGGGTTGCATTATTCTTAAATATTACTGTTTTCCTTTGAGTTTGTGGTGATTAATTGGTTAGTATTGCGTAGTTAGCAATATACAGTTCATTGGAGACACATCTTAATGCTGATTCAATTCTCAAAATAGCTCAAGTAACAAATATTTGTTGAAATATGCCTATGTACAAGTCTGACCACTTTTTTGGGGATTTGTTCTTTTAGGTGAATGATGCCTTCCTTCATGTGATGCAGCGCAAATCCACGGGCAAGGTGCTTCTCTCTCTCAAATAAAGACTCACCCCAGCAGCAAACTCAGCGTGTCTGAATCCAAACCCATCATCTTTCCAAAAAACCTGATTTGCCTCCTGTGTTTCTAAAGGTGTTACCACCTTCCTTATTAATCCAGATTAAAAATCTTTTAGAGTCACCTTTGATTCTGTTTTTTAATTTCTCATAATTAGTGTGATCATATACTTTATTGTGCAAACTTCGACCTGTTTGAGAGGGAAAGGTTGCTGTTAGTAATTACACCAGGAAGACAGGTGTCCCAGGCAAACCAGGATGTATGGTCAGTGATGTATGCATCAATGGCCAGGGCTCTGTCGTCTCTACCTCTGAGGTATCTCTCACCTCCATATCCTGTTTTCCATTTCGGTTAATTCTGTCTCATGTGCTAATTCTGGTGACCTCCTAAATGGCTTTCCTATCTTTAAACTACCCACACCCCCTCCATCCTGATTATCCATTATTGCCATGTTTTACTTCCTAAAACACAGCTATGATTATGTCTCATCTCAGAAAACCTACAATGGCTCACCATTGTCTATATGGTGGAGTTCAGATTCCTTGAGCTAGCATTTCATTTTGACCATGATTTTGCCCCTCTCTGATTTGCAGCCTTATGTTCCACAACTCCACTGGTCCCTCATATGTACTTAGATTTTTTGCCTCCCCACTTTGCTCTGCTCAAGCAGTTTCCTCTACTCCCTTATCTCTGTCAAACATAAGCCTTCTGGACCTCTAAGACCTACCTCTGCCATGAGCCTTTCCCCTCAGGAGGGTGCTCATCTTTTCTCTTCCCTTCTCCTTCCTGTGGATTCTCTCCCAGGATTTGTCTCATTTTGCCTTGCACCAAATGGAGCAGCATGTCCGGTGGAATGAACTCAGGATTCTGAATCCAAGATGTGGTTTTGAATCCCAGTCTCACCACTTTGGAGGTGGTTACTTAAGTTCTCCAACCAAATCTTCATTTTTCTCACTGTAACGTGGATATTACAATATCTACCTCACAAGGTTGTTGTGAGCAATACGCATAGTGATTGGGCAAACACCTGGCACACGGGAAGCGATTAGCAAATGCTACTTACCTTCACTTCTTTCTCTCCTCCTTTCTCAAGGTAGCCTAAGTTCCTTGATAGTAGGTACCATGTCTGACTCACCTCTGTACCTCCCACAATACTAGCACAGTGAGTTACCCTTGGCAAATACTCAATAAATTGAATTGAATTTGAACTATCTGCAAGTCTTAAATTGCGGGAAAAAAATGTATCTGTATATAATACAATGGAATATTATTCAGCCTTACAAGGGAAGGACATTTTGATACATGCTACATCATGGATGAATTTTGAAGATGTTATGCTAAGTGAAATAAGCCAGTCACACAAGAGCAAATATTGTATGATGCCGCTTACATGAAGTACCTAGAGTAGTCAGATTCCTACAGACAGAAAGTAAAATGGTGGTTGCTAGGGGCTGGGGGAGGAGGAAACGTGATTTATTGTTGAATGGGTGCAGAGTTTCGGTTTGGGAAGAAGTAAAAGTTCTGGAGATGAATGGTGGTAATGGCTGCACAACAGTGTGGATACACTTAATGCCGCTGAACTGTACACTTAAAAATGGTGAAAATGGTGGGGCTGGCCCCGTGGCCGAGTGGTTAAGTTCGCGCGCTCCACTGCAGGCGGCCCAGTGTTTCGTTAGTTCGAATCCTGGGCGCGGACATGGCACTGCTCATCAAACCATGCTGAGGCAGCGTCCCACATGCCACAACTAGAAGGACCCACAATGAAGAATATTACAACTATGTACGAGGGAGCTTTGGGGAGAAAAAGGAAAAAATAAAAAAAAAAATCTTTAAAAAAAAAATGGTGAAAATGGTAAATTTATGTATATTTTACTACAATAAAAGATGTTAAAAAAATAAAAATATATTACCCTCATATTTAAGTGAATGCATTCAGAGAAGAGAACAGAGAGTGCAAGTCGAGGGCCTGGCTGAAGTAAGCTCCCGTCTCTGTCCTAGTCCTCGTCTGTGGGGCGAGGTCCTCTACCTTTGCTGCGTGCTAAACGTTCTCTACTCCTCCTATTGCATGAGTGATAATTCCCAAAAAGGGTGGTGGAGATAAAAACAGACACCTGACACCACAGGGATGGGGGTTCTTCTTATTCTTGATGAGGTCCTGTTCCAATAAATGGGGTAAGACGCTTTGTTTTCTGATAAGTACCTCAGGCCATTTGAAAACACCTATCTTCTTAGGGTCTTCTCACCAAAAGAGCATTTGGGAGAATTGTAAACTAGCTAGCGAACATTTAGAGAAAGAATTTGAAACCGAGAAATTAGCAGGAGGAAGAGGGAGGGGAAAGCTGTCAGGGAAACCACCCAGGTGTCTGCTGTGGGCCACGGGCGGGGGGGCTCCTGTGAGGCCAGAGCACCTGCCGTGCCTCTTCCTGCCCAGTTGCCACGTTTTCACCTGCTGGGGGCTGCATGCCCTGTGGTTCTATTTAATGATATGCCTCTCCCCAAACTTACTTCTGTGAGCTATTTTTGTATTTAAATGAAAGTTGGTTTTCAAAAATATCAAGACACCAACTTTGAGGCTAATTTTAGAATTTCCTGACACCGTTTGGGATAATTGAAGACATGCTGGAGAGACCCCGGGAGAGAAAGAAGAGAAACCAGGGTTGGGAAAAGTGCACAGGCCCTGCTGGAAGCCACCTGTCCCACTGTTCCGTGCTGATCAGTAGGTGTCACTAGTAATAAAGATCGATTGTCCCCAGCTCACTAACGTCAAAGTGACTTAGATTGAAAGAGGCAGTCATTAAGGAGAGCGAGTTTCCTCAGGTTTAACAAGTATTGGTTAGAACCCCTAATGACCTCCTCTCTGCTCGCCTGTGTTCCAGCTTCATTGGAATGATTTGATGTGAAAGCATTTGACTCATATTTTAGTCATTGTTTGGTGGTTCCATCTGAGCCATTAGTTAGTCTGAAAAAAGAATCAATGCAGCTCCAAGTGACAGCACTGGTTCTGTATTCACAGACTTGTCCCAGCTCTCCCTTGCAGGCTGGCTGCTGGAGACATCGCTCCCACATACCTGCCTCTTCTTTTTCAGTAGCTGAGGGTCTGGCCACCTGCACACACTTCAATCAACAGCTGAAGTGAGGTTTTGTCCTATTAGCTGTGGAAAAATCCTGTCTACACATCACCAGTATATTTGTCCCTGCTCCTTCCCTGCAATCTGCATGGTTTTAGAAAGCTGTCTTTTCTCTTGAAGCTATGGTATAGCCAACAAAAGATTTGTTATTTGGCAAGTGAAGGAAAATAAAGGTGTCTTCACATAATCACTTTTACTTAACCAAAAAATCTAAGTAAACTAAGAAAAATTCATGCTATTGTTTCTTTCTCTTATTTTTCCTTCTAAGGTTGTCTAAGAGAATCAAAAAGCAGTGAGTTTTCAAAATGTTTATTGTTTATAAAGTCATGTGAGGGGAAGACCTAATTAAATGATCAAATACTGGCTTGTCTAATTGTTCTTTTCCATTTGGCTTCTTTATCACAGCTTCTTGCTAGAGTGAAGATCTGAATTGGAAATATGCTGGTTTCTGGAACTTTATCATTGTTGAGGAATCATATATATACAAAGTGGTTATTTTAACTGTTTTTCTTTCCTGATGTATTTAGAAATAGTTTCCTGAACTTTAGTGAATTGCATCCTTATTTCTAAAATAGTGTTGTTAAAATAATTACAAGAATACCGCATGGTCATTGAAAAAAGTCAAACCAGCCAGAAGTTTATGAGTAGAAATTGTTCTATTTTCCTCTATCCTGTCTCATTCCCATTCTCCAAGGAAACCACTGTAAACAGTTTGGTGTTAGTCTTGCAGATCTTTTAAAACTCATACACACAGGTTTGGTTTTTTTAAATAAAGACGTACATAGGTTTTAAAAATGAGTGATCATAGTACACATGCTGTTCTGTAATGTGCTGTTTTTAATCAATAATATGCCATGGACATCATTCCATATTAGTAAATATAGACATCTCATTCTTTGTGACAGCTGCTTAGTATTCCACAATGAGGATGTATATCATACACAACCATTTCCTTATTAGTGGGCTTATGCATTCATTTAACAAACATTTATTGATGTGCCTGTATGTGCCAAGCTCAGCACAGCACAGGGCATACAATGGTGAGGGAAAGGTTACAACTCTAGTGGAGGAGACAGACATTAACTAAATTCACAAAACCTTGCCAATCTAGTGCCGTATAAAGCATCATTGGGAAATTTAACTCAGGAAGGTCAAGAAAGATTTCCCTAAGGAAAGACCTTGAACCTCTATCTGAAGATTGAGGCTTCCAGGAATTAAATCCTAGGGATTTTGAATAGGCAGGGAAGAGAGGAAAGACTAGCATCCCATGGCTAATGAAAGCACGGCAAGTAAAAGGGGCTGAAAGAAGGCTGGTGGAACTGTAGCTTGAGAGATGAAGGCAAGTGCTGTGAGATGAGGCGGGAGGTGGGGACAGATTGGGCAGGGGCTTGTGGGCCAGTTATGGGAGTTTTGCCTTTACCCTAAAAGCAATGGGATGCTATTGAAGTGTTCTAAGCAGGGGTGGGGCAGAGGCAGCATGACCAGAATGGCATTTTGGAAGAATCCCTCCAGCTAGAGTGGGGAGAAAGGATTGGAGAGAAATAGACCAATAGGAGTCTGTGAAAGTCCACATTAAAGATGATGGCATCTTGGACTAAGGTGATGATGATGGGGAAGGGGAGAAATGGACCTTGGTGTTAGATTGGGTATAGGGGCGGGGTGAGGGGGAGTGAGAGGGAAATGTCAAGAGGACTCCTAGGTTCCCGGATAGATACTTGAGAGGAGGAACATCAAAAGAGAATTGGGTTTTGGCAGTGGAAGGGAATATGATGGGGGCAGAAAATTAAGTTTTGTACATAGTGAGACATCCAGGAGATGTCAAGTATGCACTTTTATATACCTGTCTGGTGCTTGGAGAAGAAGTGTGGCCAGAGATACACGTTTGTGAGTCACGTGCATGGAGGTGCTATTGATGCCGTGACATGGCTAAGATCGCCCTTGGAGAGCCTGCAGAGAGCAAAGAGGGTCTAGACTAGCCTTAAACAGTTTTCCTTT